CTAGACATATTGGTTTACGACATATCTATATAAATGGTCTTATAAAAGATAGGATCATAGTGGTAAATTTTGTGCGTACAAAACAAAACTTGGCTGATGCTCTTTCCAAGAGTTTGTCAAGGGACATATTACACAAAATGACAATAGGGATGGTTCTTGAGCCTACTGATATTCCATTGTTCGATTTACTCTAAAAATGATGGAGGATTGTTGTGATTTTTAGAGAAAATGAATGAGAATTTAGAATCTCTCAAAAGGATTCATGTTTCACGTGTATTACAAGTATGGTGGAGGAGTTAAATGCTTGTAAAAGACGTGTTATGAATTGACTAAGTGTTAAGGATTCGTCGAAAGAGTTTACGTTCGGTTTTGAACGTGAAAAGTGATGTCATAAAAAATGAGAGGGCAACTCGAAAAAATGAGCTGACAGTCTATTTTTTCTGAGGAATAAAACCCAAAAATAAACGGACGATAGCTTGAAACAATAGACGGGTAACCTGTTTTTCTGAGCACTTCGGGAATAAATGGGCGGATAACTCAAAAAACGGGTTGTCCATCCGTTTTTTCTGAACATTTCAAAAATGAGTGAAAATCACAACCGTTCGGAAAAAATTTCTGATTTCTTTGTACTTTTCGACTTTTGGAGTGTTAATAAACATTCATAGACATCCTAACACGAAAAAAATAGATCTAAATCATTTTTTGAGAGATTAAAGAGCACTTTTATGACTGTTCTTGCAAAATATTCACAAAACCAATTCATTCATCTTCTTCTTCTTGGAGAAAAATTAATAACTATGTAAATGCATCATATGTGTCGATATCAACGTACATATTTAACGCTTTTAGATTGTTAAAAAAATCAATATGAAAAAACTCATATGTACCCGGCGGTAAAATGATGACTTCGATGTGATCCGAAAATCACGTCTTCAACCTATCAAAACACGTATGAAACAGTAGAGAATCGGATATGACTTCAAGGTATGACGAATACTTTCCTAAGAGCGTTATTCCATCCTTACTGGTAAATGGGATTACAGTAATACGCTTTTGAGATACAATAAAGCGACAATGATTTTTGTTTACTCTTCCGAGCCAGTGAGACACCGTCGCGGTGATATACTTCGATTTGAGATTGTTTCTTCCGATAATCATCAACACAGAACCTTGTTTATCCGAAAAATAAATAAATCCTTGTGCATAGTCTTCTGCAGAAAAACTGTATGCAAGAATACTCAAATCTCTCACAAAATCATTAGATCTTGTCATCAAACCTTGTTTTCTATTCTTCTTCGTGTTATATGGCCTCTGGTGTATTTATAAACACCAAAACGTTGAAAAAACATGAAAACTCGGAAATTTTCGTCGACCGACCATGACTTTTTGCTCAAACGGTCACTCAGAAAAAAAAATGAGTTGCTCGCCCGTTTATTAGAGTTATCGCCCGTTTATTCGAGTTTTATCCCTCAGAAAAAACAGGTTGTCACCCACATTTTCGAGCTGCCCTCCTATTTTTTCTGAGATCATTTTTCAAGTTCTAAACCGAATGTAACTTTTTCCGACGAATCATAACACTTTAAATCAATTAACGGCACGTCTTTTACAAGTATTTTATTCTTGCACCATACTCGTAATACACATACATCATGAATACTACGAGAGATTAAAACCTATCAACTGTTTACTCTAAAATACCAATAATCTTCTACCATTTTAAGTAAATAACAAGTGATTGAAATAATTAAGTATTTTTCAAATATATTTATATATATATATATATATGTATGAGTGTATATATGTATACATATGCATGTATGTATTTATATGTATATGTTTATTTGTATATTTTTATTTATTTTATTAATTTATTATTTATTTTTGTATTTATTTTAATAATTTATCGATGATCGATTTATTAATTTAGTTATTTAGTTTAGATGAAATAGGGCTAGATGAATCGATGATGAGGTAAAGTATGGATAGGATGAGTTAATTGCAACGTGAGTTTTTTATTGGTAATTTTAACGTTGTGGGTTTATTTAATCCCTTTTAAAAATATAAGTATTTTATTGTTATAAATAATAATTATAGTATTTATCACGACTAAAAAGTCCAGATTTAAATTACGAGAAAAGTATGGAAAGAGAATTTTCCAAAAAACAATGAGGTCTGCATAGTTGACCATATAACAACCACGTGTTAAATGTGCCAGTAAGCGGGAAAAACCAGTAGCTGTCATGTCACTGACTTGGACTTTTCCCACAAGTATTCACCTCGTTAAAGGTCCCATACTTTCTTTTGCCAGCTCATAAATACTCACGTTTTTATTTAAATTGCCCCACCAATTTATATACATATATATATATATATATATATATGTATACCTCAACTATCGGACTATTTACGGAGATTTTTTATCTTATTTGTGAAAATAGTAATTGAATAAATATTTTAAACTATATGTATGTTATATGAATCTCGTTATAACATATATTATTTAAACAAATATTAACCAATATTATTAAATAAATTATCAACAAACAAGGAGACATACAAAGAGAAAAAGGTTCTATAATCTATATAAATTTTACTCTGTCCATTTTAAAATAATTGTTATTTAAAATTATTTATATTTAAAAAAAAAGAGAAAAAGTCACATATAATAATAAAAACAATGTTATTATTAATAATTTATTGGAATTTGATAGGGATAAGATTAGAAACTATTGTAAAAAAATGTTTTGAAAATATAGAATGACAAATATTTTGAAACATGAAAAATAACCTAAAACTACAAATATTTTGAAACGGATGGAATATATTTTTAAATTTATAAAAGAATAATCGAATTTTGAATCAACCTAACTGTTTATAAAATGTTCACCGTCTTTCGTTTTGTTCAGTCGAAATATCTGTAATTGATAAATTTATGAATTCTTTGATATGATTTAGCAAAAAAACAATTATACGAATAAAAAATGGAATCAAATGAGATATTGTGAATAACATGAGCAATATACATGTTGTCATATGTTTCACATGTTATGGACAATGGAATATATTTTTAAATTTATAAAAGAATAATCGAATTTTGAATCAACCTAACTGTTTATAAAATGTTCACCGTCTTTCGTTTTGTTCAGTCGAAATATCTGTAATTGATAAATTTATGAATTCTTTGATATGATTTAGCAAAAAAACAATTATACGAATAAAAAATGGAATCAAATGAGATATTGTGAATAACATGAGCAATATACATGTTGTCATATGTTTCACATGTTATGGACAAATTGCATCATTCAAATTTGTGGTCGACTCGTTTTTGAGATAATAATAACGGATACAAAAACGATAATAATAACGGATACGTAGTAACATTTGATTATCGATAAAATAGAAAAAATAAAATAAAAAATTATTACTGATTAGTTTTTTTCCATTAATCGGCAATCTTTTTTGACAAAGGTTAGTTTTTCATTACCCAAAATTTTTTACATTAAGCTATTCAATCTTGTAATAGAAGTACGATTACATATATACGCAAATAGGCCAACAAAAGAATAAATGTTTTCACGAGAAATATGGATTTAGAAGGTGGATCCCAACTGAAGAGTACAGGTTGAAAAAAGGGTCACCTTGCAGTTATCTCAATGAAAAAATATCCACTTTTTTAATATCGAATTCAATAATTTTGTTGAATTAAATTGAAACGGATGTTTTTATTTTTGAGTACATAATTAATTTTATAATAATGTTATTACAACTTCCTAAGCCTTTTTTTTTCTAAATATAAAAGAAAAATATAATTTTATTTTGCTTCTGTTTTTATGTACAAAACTATTATTTATACATAACTTTAAGGAAATGTCATATTTAAGTACTAATAAACTTCGGGCCAGTGAGACACCGTCGCGGTGATATACTTCGATTTGAGATTGTTATCGAGGTAAGAAAATCCAACTTTCTTTGTTGTATAGAAAATACGTGGAAACCCAATTTTTTTTAATCTATGTTGATGTTTCTTAACCGATTAAATCAGATTTATAAAAAAATCACAAAAAGATATGTGGCATCTGACGTGGTATTAAACGTCACTTAAATTTAATTTGTCATATACTATTAGTTCGGAGTTGGGAATATATTAACATTTGGAAAGTTAGGTTTTTATTTGTTAATTTAAATATAGTTTATATTTTAATTTAGAAATCAAATAATCGATTATTTAATTTAGAAATTTGGTTGAAGTTCAATAATTAATATGTGAATCTCCCTCATAATTTTTAGTCTATATATTCAAAATGCATTAAATTGCTAAAGTAGATACATATAAACCTCTGTATTAATAAATACTAATACAATTAAAAAATCTAATTAAATATAAAAATAATTAACAAAAAATTGATTGGAAATAAAAATAAAATAATGTTTTTACTAAAAATAATTAAAAAATTATAATTAACAAAAAATTATAATGTTTTTACAATAATGTTTTTACTAAAAATAATTAAAATTTTTTAAAAATCCTAATAAATACATAGATTTTTGTAATTTTTTTCCAAATAAATATAAATTTTAGATATTTTTCAAATAAAAATAGGTGATGGCATTAACTGATTTTGAATTTATTTGGGAGGTTTTTAGAAATCTAGGTATTTATGTAGGATTTTAAAAAATTCAGGTATTTATATGAAAATTTATAATTCAAGTAATTATGTGGAATTTTTATAAAAGTTTAGGTATTTTATATGCGATTTTTTCAAAACTAAAATATATGTTAGAATAATTATAATAAATATCATAAGAAAAATTATAATAAATAAATTATAAAAAAGTAGTGAAGATTGATCTTGTCCAAGGAAAAAATATCTTAAGCATGTGAAAATAATTACTGAGAGAGGAAAAGAAAAGCCGAAGGAATAAAAGAAAAGGAAAAAAAATTATGATAATGCAGTGTTGTGCGTACGGTCACAATTGAAAATTTATAAATGGGGTCTTGGTCTTGGTTTTGGTTAAACGAGTTTGGGTTTTAATTGAAATTGAGATTCCCATTCTTACTGCCTCATCATTACTTGGAATCTCTTCGATCTCGTCTTCTGTAGACGATCATCATGAGTTTCTGCAAATGGGTTTTCCTCATTTTGGTCCTTCATTTACTCAATTGTCCGCTGATTTCTAGTTCCTCTCCCCAATCCTCAACTGGGTTATCTCAATTTCCCCAAAAGTTTATAAATTTGGCTAAAAGGGATGAGTTTTTTGATTGGATGGTCGGAATAAGAAGGAAAATCCACGAGAACCCAGAGCTGGGTTACGAGGAAATTGAGACCAGTAAGCTCATCAGAGCAGAATTGGACAAGATGGGTGTTTCTTACAAGTACCCAGTCGCTGTAACTGGTGTTATCGGTTATGTCGGAACTGGTCAGCCTCCTTTTGTTGCGTTGAGGGCAGACATGGATGCTCTTCCTATGCAGGTCTTAAAGCTTTGGTTCTTTTTAATGGATGGAAAATGATCTGAATTCGTATACCTTATCCCTTATTGTTCAATGCCTCACAAAAAATCAAGTTATTGTTCTTCTGTCTTCTCCACGAGGATTTTAGTTACTTCACTGCATAGTAGTTCAAGCTTTGAATTCACCTCTCTGTCGGGTTTGTGATCGTTTTCCTTTCCTTTTGTGTTCATATATGATGGTGCAAATCTTAGGTTTTTTGTATTTTCTGAACTACCGTTCTAATGTATGTTAACTTTATCGATTCCATTCCGGTTCTTGTTTTTCCCCCCGTTCTCCACGCACATGAATCATGAAAAGTTTCCATCTTTTTTCGCTAGATTATTATCCGAGATTGTGTTGGATTGTGTAGGAAATGGTGGAATGGGAACACAGGAGTAAGATTCCAGGGAAGATGCATGCTTGTGGACACGATGCCCACACGGCTATGCTGCTCGGTGCTGCGAAATTACTCAAAGAACACGAGGGAGAATTGAAGGTTAGACCTCAAACTGAGCAACCAATCCTTGCTAACTAAAAGCTGATGTAAAGCTGAAAACTTTGTCTGAATTCTTTGGCCTCAGAAAACGGTTTCATGTTATTGGCAAGCCAGTCTATGAAGAAGCTTTCAATGTTGCCATAACTCTGATCTCATTGTGTAATGTGTTGAGATCTCATTTGGGCCTCTGATTTTTTGAATATTTGTTTGGTTATCTCATTAGGGAACAGTTGTTCTAGTTTTCCAACCAGCTGAGGAAGGTGGAGGAGGTGCGAAGAAAGTCCTCGAGGCCGGAGTTCTCGACAATGTCGATGCGATCTTCGGGTTTCACGTCTCGAATTTCTTGAAATTGGGTCAAGTCGCCTCCCGAGAGGGTCACCTTTTGGCCGGGAGTGGCTTTTTCGAGGCCAAGATTAGCGGCAAAGGAGGTCACGCTGCTCTCCCTCAGCATTCCATTGACCCGATTTTGGCTGCTTCTAATGTTATTGTAAGCTTGCAACACCTCGTTTCTCGTGAGGCCGACCCCTTAGACTCACAGGTATATAGATTTCCATCTTACCAGTTACGAGCTTGTTCCCGGGTCATTTTTTTCGGCTATGCCAAAATCCTAAACCATATGGTCCTGTAGAAAACTGATGTATGGGGGGATATGCAGGTGGTAACAGTGGCCAAATTTGAAGGAGGTGGTGCTTTTAATGTAATTCCAGACTCGGTCACCATCGGTGGTACATTCCGAGCTTTTTCTAAAGAAAGCTTTAAGCAACTCAAAACACGAATCGAGCAGGTGAGTGTTAACATTCTACTCTAACTAACGGTTGAATATGCATGAATATGTATACGTATATGTATATGTATATGTATATATATGAAAACGAAACCTTTTGATCCGACAAATCTCAAGTTTCGAGTCTTGCAACTTGTATTTACTTCACATCTTGTATTAGCATTACCAGGTTAAAGTCAAAGTGTTTCTGACTTCTGGCAGAAAGGCTTCTCCATTTTTTCTTGCCTGTCTGAAGATTGCAAATCTCTGAACCATTTCACTCATTGTCTCTTAGGCCCTCAAAGAGGAATCATGCCTTGAGTCCTTAGGAAACGATCAAAAGCATGTGTTGTGTTTTTATAATCTTATAATTTTCATCAGTAAAGATTATGTACTTCTAGTTAAATGATTTCATTGGTAATCAACTGTTGAGATTTGCTTGATCATATAGTGAATTGTCGTTTGAAAAGACCGGTTTTTTGTCGGTAGGTTATCACGAGGCAAGCCAGTGTGCAGAGGTGTAACGCAACAGTCGATTTTCTCGAGGGGAAACCCTTTTTCCCGCCGACTGTAAACGATAAAGACTTGCACCGGTTCTTCAAGAACGTTGCAGGCGATGTTCTGGGCACTGAGAATTACTCCGAGATGAAACCGCTGATGGGATCAGAGGACTTCTCATCGTACCAAGAAGTGAAACCCGGATTCTTTTACTTTGTGGGAATGCAAAACAAGGGTCATCCACCAATGGATAACCCTCATTCCCCGTATTTTCGGGTTAACGAAGATTCACTCCCTTACGGGGCCGCCCTCCATGCTTCCTTGGCTACAAGATATCTCCTCGAGTCCCGACCCAACGGTTCATCGCCTCACATGAGTTACAAGGATGAACTCTGAACAAGATTTGTATTTGTTCAGGCATCTCCTGTAATGGAAGAATCCTCCATTGATTGTTAGACGACCACCTCCTTGTAAAAATAAACATGATGACGGGTATCTTCATTCTATTAAGCCTATGGCTGAAGGGAAATGTGACTTAGACCCAAAAGAAACAATGATTTGGCCGCCCTCATAGTGAGAATCTTTGAGTAATTCTTGTTTCGATATCTTTCTTATTAGTTCTGAGAAGCTAACATTTAGCAGGCAAAATTCTGTAACAGAGTAAAAAAAACTTGTGTATAATCTCAGATTTTAGTAATATGGTTTCAGAAACTGATGTCTGCCTCTGAAGTAACATGCTGTATAAACTCTGTTTATACTTTCTTGTCAGTAACTGTGTCCTGAGTTCATTACAGCCTCTTCCGACAGAATGCTTGTCCCGCCTTAGTTCTTGTCTGCAAGCAGACAAACTTCACGGATGTTACCCTGTAATTGTTCTTCGTTTTTCTCTCGTTCAGCCTCGAGTTTTCGGGAACTGGGATTGCGTAAAACCATCTCGAGTTCATAAAGAGTGTGAATGAAACTCCTTGTGGTCCACTGGAACATCAAGATTCTCGTGTATTGCTTAGTGCAAAAGCTACTCAAAGAAGAGAGAGGAGTTTGTGGTTATCAGAATTTTCCATTACTGAAGCCACAGTGCAACTAGTCTAAATCTGTAACATAAGAGTAGAGCATTAATACAAGTCCGTAACTTTCAGACATACAAGAATGGTGCAAAAACGTGTTCTTCTCATCGTTAATACAAAGTCTTGTCTTTGGCAATGTATGATTCTAAGTCTTTACCTATGTACGTCAAGCAAAACGGAATACCCGAAACCTAAACGAGACAAAGGACAAAGAACTAAAAACAGAAGGCGCAAAAAGAAAACCACCTAATCATAGGACTGGGCAAAAAACCCAGAATTCCAATACCCGACCAACTTGACCTACAGATCAGGTACCTGGCCACTATACGAGATGTGATTGGGTTATAGCATGAGGAAAATCCGAAAATTGAGCTCGGATTTGTGTACTTGGGTCTGAGATCAACAGTATCACAGGTACAGAGAGATTGTATTCATGGGACACGACAGAGACCACATTCCTTTCACGGTATCACTCACCTGAACCAAAGGAAACAATGGTGGAATTATCCTATTGGCCTCATCTTTCATCGCTCTCGCCATCTTCTTCCGAGGGTCAAAACCAGTTTCAGGCCAAGATTCAATGCCGAGAGAGCCTCTTCTTCAAGAAAATACACTTGTCAGAGAATGTTGCACTTGCACCTGCATATGAGATTCACTCACTTGTGGAAAATGTTAAGAGTTACAATAACGAAAAACTGTGATACCGTCTTCTCCTCTTCTCTATCTGCCTTGGCATTGGTAATGTTCATCATCTGCCCTCTACAAGGTTACTACACTTACACAATCGCCATGTAAAAAAATATACATTATGCAAGCACCAACAGTCTCTTAAGACTCTGGAATGACTGAAGATGTTTCATAAGGGTTTCAACAGTAGAAGCACTGCAAGGGAAAAAACTTAATGCAAAAGAAACACTCACAAATGAGTACGGAGAGAGAGAGAGTTATGCCAATGGAAGACCATAACTCCCTCACATTTTCTTTAAAATATTTCAAAGTTGTGTCCAATTATTGATTTAAAAATAGTAAAATATATTGTTTTTAGCGGTTTCACACCAGAAATCACCAACAGTTATAATAATAATAGCTTCTAAGAACCATTCCAAGATGAGATCCAGAATATGTAATGTGACTCATTTCTGCTACAGAACAGGAACTACTTCCCACCTTTGATTCAATAAATGTCATCAGTCATTGCTCTTATGCCGTCCACGTTGTAAGAAGTCCAAAAGCTCACTCAAGCAATCACTGAAAGGACTGGTTTCCTGATGATCCTGTCCTGTGCAATTCACTGACGATTATAAACAGTAAAACTAAGCCCAACCCACAATTAATTTTTTGGTTGGCTTCCCAGTTTGAAATAACCCAGGGTCTTAAACCAGAACCGGTTTGTCAGTAGGGGTGGACACTGAAAACATGAGAAAATTCTCTACTTCTGACTTCACCTGTATTCTGTTCACAGCCCAAATGCCGAAGAAAATAAGCGAAAGAGAGAGTTTCTGAGTTCAACGAAGCTCTAACAAGCAGATGCACTCTATGTGAGGTGTGTGAGGGAACATATCCAACGGCTGCACGCTCTTGAGTTTGTAGCACCCCTTGATATTTTTCTCCTCCTATACATAGAGATGGACCCAGTTCTTGTACTTTGACAAATGAATCAAAAAGGAAAAATATTTGAAAGAAGGCGAATGATTTATTAAACTTACCACACCATGACAGAGGTAATCGAGGTCCCTTGCACAAGTTGCAGGATTGCAAGAAACATAAACTATCCGTGGAGATTTCAGCTTTAACAGAAACTTGATCAACTTCATGTGCATACCAGGGCGGTTAGGATCTGTAAAACCATTTATATGAGCATGGGAGAAAACAAAAAGAAGCTAGTTCTCAAGTGATGGAAGAAAGATGGAATGCAATGGCAGGAAGTAACCTGAAATGACAATGTCGGGTCTGGGGAAATTGCTCCCGAAATCGTCTCCTATTTTGTTTAGATCCCCTTGTATGAATGTTGCATTTTCGATGCCATTCAATTGGGCATTTCGGCATGCATCTGATATTGCTTGAGGCACAACTTCATAACCATATACATGCTTAGCCCTGGCAATAGATTCAGGCGAGAACTATCAGTAACAGTCAAAATAGTAGTAGCCTAGTAGGTTATTAAACTCTGGCAAAAAAAAAAGGAATGGTTAGTCACCTCACCTTTTGGCAAGTGTGAGACCTATGGTACCAGTTCCACAGAAAAGATCGAGCACTACTTCTGATCCATCACCTCTTAGGCCAGCACATTCTTCAATAAGCGTATACAGAACTTCAGCCTGCGTAGTACATGACATTTTATTTTCAATAGGTTGCTTATCTTTGGAATGCTAAAACATAATTGGGTTGGGTTTAGGGTTTAGAGTTTAGGGTTATACAGAATTCAAGTTGGCTGATAGTTCCATTGCGTCCATGTCACATACCTGATGTGTATTAGTCTGAAAGAACGAGTTGGCTGAAATTTGAAAAGTAAGGCCTCTCAAGATCTCAGTGATTGTAGATTTCCCGTGTAGTGTATATTCCTTTTCCCCAACAGATGTATTACCAACAGAAGAATTTACATTATTCATGACGCTCACCTGCATTCCAAGATTCAGAGAGAGAAAAAAGTGAAAATCTGTTAAAAGACAAAGTACGAAACATGCGATGAATCAGTTAATAGATTTAGAGTTTTAGGAATGGAACAGTCACATTTAGCACTAACCACTTGAGGAATAGATGAAATTCTTTCTATCAAGGGCTTCAGCAGCTCTGGTTCATAAGACGATGTCACAAAATTGACCATAAGCTCTTGTGAACCAGTCTTCACATCCCTATGCAATATTATATAACATGCATATTATAAAAGCAAGGAGAATGAAAGAAAAACCCAAAAAAATAGAGAGAATGAAAGAAAAACCAAAAAAAATAGAATGGAGACACATTAACGATAAGATTCCGAATTTTTCTTTCCCGTACTCATTATTTCATGATATCAGATAATCCTCTCATGTGTTTTATAATATCAGATCAAATTGCTTGTCTGTATATCTAATGCAGTGAAAATGCCCTAGACTACGTTATATAAGTACCTTCCAGTTCTCAGCATCAAATGTTTAAGAAATCCAGCATGTGAATGAACATCATATGGTGAAAGACCTAGCTGTGGATCTCTCCAGAAATCTTGAACAGCAGCAAGAACCTATTTGGTAGGGGAAAAAAGGTCGATAATGAAGCTAAAGGCGTTATATACAAATGCAAATTCAAATAAACAAATATGTATTTTTTTTTCTTGTGGCAACTAATTTAAGAGTGGCTAGATAAAAAGATCTTAAACAGGGATGGGCAGAAAAACATATTGACCCTGCCACCGAAGGATCCACCTAAATTTACAAACATCAATCACGTTCTCAGACATGTACATGTATCATCTCTGTGTATCTACTAAACCAACTGACTTGTAGCAAAGCAAGCTATCCTATCTAGCAATTTTCCGCTTGCTATATAGTATGATCCACTTAACTTTGCTCACCAATTCAAATCCTCATCAAATCCACTTGGTAAAGGTACATCAGATCTCTCTCAAATTTGTGATAAGTAACAAACTTCACATTGTGTGTAGGAAGAAAGATGTGATTCAGTTGTCTAACATAGAAGAAAAGAACTTGAAGAAAACAAAACAACAACAACAAAAAAAAAGAGGATAAAAGAACACAGATTTGCTAACTGGAAGTGAAACCGCCTCATCCCGTGCAAGATATAACACAAAGAGCATATGGGTTTTGGTTATAAATGGATTAACTCGTACCATGTTAGCTGGTTCGCTTTGTAGCAAGCACCTGCCGATATTTAGAACCTTATCAAAGTGTCCAGGAGCATGGAGCCCCAAGGCGAAATTAGCTGGGCCATCTTGTTTCTCTTGCATCAATTCTTTTGGTAACCATCTCTTTGAACCAAATGAGAATTCCATCTAACCAAAGAAGGATGATTATATATATAAGCAGATTGTAAATCAAAATCCTAAGCCAAAGTGAACTGTATAGTGTGTAGTATATTCGACAGAACCAAACCTTGTTTCGGTAATGGAATTGGATGTCGCAGGCAACAATTGGCTTCAAGACAACCTTATCAGAAAACCTTCCAACATGGGTGATGAGCTCATGAACCTGTTGTTCTTTAGCTCTAAGCTGAGCTTCATAAGAGAGATTCTGAGTTTTACAGCCTCCACAGTATGAGGAATACTCACACGGCGCATCCACCAAGTCCCAGTGAGGAGATATCGTCTTTACTTTCGTCACCTACAAAGTGTTGCACATGACATGAACAACATAAAATGCACCAAGAAGAAAGCAAATCCACCACCAAAGAATCATCAAAGAGTTTGCAATAGAGTAGTACTTTTGCTACTACTCTTGCTTACAAATTCCGGGTTGGCAATAACATTTCTGGGATTGGAGCAGACAAATCTGAAGCAGAAACTCACAATTCATAATTACCTCTCAATGAAAAATCTCATCCTTTTATGATGAACTAAGCAAAACCCAGAATTTTTCCGCTCATACTTTTTTTTTCTGAATTCAGTATATGGTTAAAGCGACAAAGAGCAAACCTCGGCATAGTTACCCTTGCGGCGGGTGACGCGGCCGAGAAATCGCTCGCCGGGAAGAGCTCGGTCGCACATGACGACGAAACCCGTGCCCGTCACCTTGCAGATTCCCTTCCCTTTGAACGCCAAACTCTCGCAGACAAGCTCCACCGTCTGCCCTCGCTTCGGGAAATACGACGCCGTTCTCCCCGCGATTTTTGTGCCGTCATTGTTGTTGCTCTCCTCGCTCTTCTGATTTTCTCCGGCAAAGTCAGGGGAGGAAAAATGGGGGAGAGGAGTGACGGAGGAGGAGCAGCGAAACCTCTGAAGCCATGAGCAAGTGGGAACCACGTGCCTGAAGCCAAGTGCAGGCGTCGTCGCCATTGGTGAGGCGTTTTAACACGGGAGGGAAAACGAGTAGACAGCTTGAGCGGAGGAAATTTGCGATAAAGGGATTTGCTAAAGACATAAAACGACCACGTTTCGACTGTCAATCCCCAGAAACAAATAAACCTTTTCCACAGTTTGGGACTAAACCCTAAATTCTCCATAGCGATTCCTTTTCTCAGGAATTTGAGCGGGGCAAGAACTGATGAATCATGGGTCCATCATTTCTTGCTCTGATCGTTTGGTTTTTCGGTTAAATCAGATTATTATATGATCACTCAGTGTCTGTTAACGTTGTTCCACTCGGGTAAGGATCAATGACAGTTGCGCCGAAAGTGGCGAAGCAGGACAAGAAGAAGAAGCCCAGAGGACGCGCCTACAAGCGCGTGCAGTACAGTCTCCGGTGATTCTCTTCCTTTTCCGTCCATTGGGTTCGTCTCTCGAATTCAAGATTCGGAATCTTTTACACTATCGGGTATCCAAATTTTAGATGCCGCGGGATATTACAAATGCGTGAGTCGACGGGCGGGCGAGGTTGGCATAGTGGCATGACGATGAAGGTATTGCGGATCGAGTCGGAGGAGCAAACACGATGAGGCGAGGGAAAAGGTGAAGGGACGAGAAAAAAAAAAAGGAAGGACTAAAATCGATGAGCGCAAGATAAAATGTCGGGAGGCTAAGACATGGGCTCCAGAGGCAGAGGTAAGGACGAGCGTCCCTGAGGTAAGGACGGGGGCCACTTACTTCGAGTCTTCGGCTGACTCCAACCAAACCCCCCGAAGCTTTAACTGAACCTCTATACCCGACAGAGGAATGACAGCGGGAATGGACCTTAGCAATCTAGAAAAGTTTATCGATGGGGACAATATAAAAATTATTATAATTTAAGAGATAAATTTAAATTTTTTATGGGGACATTTAACAATTTTTGTTAGAAATTTATTAAATTTATAATGAAATTAAGTTTTTTAAATAAAATGAGTAGGATATATGCCCCATAGACCCGTCCATGGGCTGAGACAATGTCGACTTTAAATCATTTTTATAACGTCGAAAATTCGAAGTCATCCTTCTTAAAATCTCTTAATTTCTAAACCAAATGTCGAAATTTTCACTCCCTCGGACCATCCTCTCGATTTCTCGCATTCTTTTTTCTCACCATTGTCTTGTTCACTCCTCATCTCATCCCTAACCTAATCCAAATCCGTCTTTCAATGACTAATCTAAACATCTTCTCCAAAGACGAATATTGGATAAGGTTATCGCCGATCATAATCCGAATCGTAATCTAAAAGTCGGGTTTATACAAAATTTCGAATATGTGTATTGTATGATTGGTTCTGAAACAAAAGGTAAGAGGAAATGAGATGTGTTTTCAGGTTCAAGGAATCTGTAAACATTTCCGTATATGCAACGACTCCGTAACATAATGTTCGGTGTTGCATTCTCGCATTTCAAACGGCGTTCTTGACGATCGTTACGACATGGCATGTCTGGTGATTCGATTCTCTGTCATAGGAAACGTGGACCGAACTCATCACATTAGTAAGTTTGGCCACACGGTTGTCCTTTTTGTATTAAACTATATCAATTGTTTTTTTTTTATAAATATAGATATGTCATCATCTCTATTATTCCTATAATCCGATGAAAATCTGATAACGTTTTGAAAATCTATATATAAAAGTTTTTAATATTTTGAAGCCTGAAAATTGTGACCTGTCTCTTGCTTTTTTTGTTTTTTAAATTTTCTAAAACAACTTCATATGTATTCTTATTTATTAAATATTATTAAATTTACATAAATCATATTTTAACTGCTAACATTCTAGTGTTGAATGTTTTTCTCTCTCTTTTTGTTTGGTAAATGAATGTTTGTTTCTTTTCAAGTGCCTTAGAACTTTTGGTTTTACGAAATTTTTGGAAGAAGATTTTTTTAATTAAAAAATTCTCAACATTTTATCGATTTAAAAAATAAAAAATGTGTAAGATTTTAAGATCTAAAAGGAGAAAATTATTGGCATTGAAGAAGACATGTGATTAGGCCTCCTCATGGGTTCATTCATTCTTCATACCTTTTGTGAGGCTATTTGTATACTGTCTTAAAGGCAACCACTTGGCTTTTGTACAATAAGTTGGTGGAGTTGGGCAAATACAGGTTTGGCATTTTGACTTGTATTTATGGTCCTAACCCTTCTTACTTTCCTCTCTCATAAATCAGAAAATCATATATTTATTATATATTTTTAGGAAAATAATCTTGGGTTTGTTTTTTTTTTTTTTTTCAAGTGCAGAGAGATTTATAAAATCGTTAGATGAAGTTCCCAAATAAGAAAAAAAAATTATGAGATTAATAAGATCATTTCTTCCATTTTCCCAGAAAAATTTATACTACAATCTCTAAATTCTACATTTCGTCATTTATGAATTATTAAGAACATTAAGTAACCGAAGTCACAAAATCTTAATAAAACACGAGAATTTCCTTAATAAAGTTTGTTTTTATGGTGTTTTTTGAATATAACATTTTTAATTATTATCTTCGTTGTCCGTTCTTTATTTTGTAGAACAATCACCGAAATATATATGTAGATAATATGGAGTGGTTTTAAATATAGATCACCATTGGAACACGGAAAGGATTTCTAGTGAAATATTTTAATATCTAAAGACCTAATTTTAGAAAATTATCAAAAAGATTTGTATAACATTTTAACGTGTATATAACATTGGATGATGATTAATATTTAGAAACAATTTTATTACATTGTTATGATTTTTAATGAAAATATATTGAAGATAGATTAAAATTTAGATAAATATAATATAAATCTAAATTCATCGCATAGGGAAGCCAAACGCAGCTGAGATAGAAATAACGCATGGTCAATAATATAATTTGGGATACATATGTATGTATATACGTGTGTGTGTGACTGTGTATATATGTATGTGTATATATGTACCTCTTGTTGAGTATTGCGTTGCAGTGAAATCATAATAGTACGCCAAATGTGAAACTGCAATTTCTTCCTAGGTTTTATGCTCTGTTCCTTTTTCCCCCATTGAGAATTTCAGAGACATCGCCATTGATTCAGACAAAGAACAGAAGAATTCCGTTACATGTCTCTTTGTTTCCCCACAGAGACAGTTACCCCTTTTGGATCGCAAACTCAGATTCCAGAATCTGAAACGAAATGCGTGACTGAGGCGATCCGTTTTTTGTTCTTTTCAGGTTCGTATCTGATCAGATTTCTTCGTATAAAATATACAAATCGAACACATAGAAAACATGTTGAATCTTCTCTCTCTCTCTCTCCCGAATCTTTGTTGTTTAGTTAATATAATATGTTATGTTATTACCATAATCTGTTTGTCGGATTTCTTGCTCTTCCAACACATCAGGAACTGGGCTTGGAAACTGTTCTTACGTTACGTGGAGACTGTTTCTGAAGAAACCCATTTGGCAACAATGGCGTAATTTGCGGCAACCTTTTTGTCTGATTGAATTCTGACACTGTGGCCATATTAGCTTGTGGGATTTGTCATGTTTTAAGGGTAAAAAATCGAGAATTTTTGTGGTAAATCCGTAAGGAAATGTGGGTTTATTGATCATCCTGCCTAAAACGTTCCTTAATTTGTCTTACCGGGCTGTCTTTGTGTCACCATTTAGTGGTAATTTAGCAAGTAAGGTTGGTGGGAATGGAGGAAGGGAACAAGGAGAAACTTGCATCAGTCCCCAATTTAAGATCTAATAACCATTCTCGGGTCTTTTTCTCGATTCGGGTTCTTCAAGTTTTCTTGCTATTCCTTGTTTTGGCTCTTGGAATCTCAATCCTCAGTATGAACATGATCAAGTACCTGAGAATTCAGCATTTGGCTCCCATTGCTCCAACCACCTTCATCACTTTCTACGATGAGAGTGTTTCCTTGGAGAGTTTTGTAAGGCCTCCTTTCAATCTCCGGCACTCCATGAATGACAGTGAGCTTCTATGGCGTGCCTCGTTAGAGCCGCGTATTAAGAATTATCCGTTTAAGAGGGTTCCGAAAATGGCGTTCATGTTTCTGACAAAGGGTCCTTTGCCATTTGCTCCACTCTGGGAGAGGTTCTTCAATGGACACCAGCCCCTTTACTCGATATATGTTCACGCATTGCCAAACTATGAACAGGATTTTCCCAGCTCATCCGTTTTCTATGGAAGATATATCCCGAGTCAGGTTACCGTTCAGACCGTATCGGTTATGAAGCTTCAAGTTTCGATACGTTTGCAGTTTTATATTGCATTTCACGCCTCTGACATGAGAGTTTCTCTTCCCGCAGGTTGTGGAATGGGGAAAGATGAGCATGTGCGATGCTGAAAGGAGGCTTCTGGCTAACGCCCTGCTCGATATATCTAACGAGTGGTTTGTCCTGCTGTCTGAAGCATGCATTCCTCTTCACAACTTCAGTTTTATCTACAATCACATATCCAGTTCAAGATACAGTTTCATGGGTTCGGTTGATGAGGATGGACCTTACGGGAGAGGTAGATACCACCGGGGAATGGAACCCGAGGTCACTCTCAGCCAGTGGCGGAAAGGGTCTCAGTGGTTTGAAATTAACCGGAAACTTGCCATCGAGATTGTCCAAGACACCACCTACTATCCCAAATTCAACGATTTCTGCCGACCTCATCAATGCTACGTCGATGAGCATTACTTCCCCACAATGCTGACTATGAAATATCCTCGTCTTCTAGCGAACCGGACATTGACTTGGACAGATTGGACCCGAGGTGGTGCACATCCTGCCACCTTTGGCAAATCCGACATAACAGGAGCTTTTATCAGGAAGCTGCCTGAGTCTATAGCCTGCCACTTCAACGATCAGTCTTCTAAAGTCTGTTATCTTTTTGCTAGAAAGTTTGCTCCAAGTGCATTGGAGCCCCTACTCGAGATTTCAGCGAGCGCGATGGGATTCTGAAAGATTCTGCTTGTCGGGTTTTTGTTAACAAGTTCTCGCTGAAAGTGCTCGGATTTAGAATATGGCCTCACTTATCTTTGATGCAACTGATGGTTAGTCTACTTCTGCATTGAATTTTTTTACCGGTATCATGATTTTGTAAGGCAATTCGAGTGTATAGATAAGGGAATAAAGGGTATTTACCTATCTTGTCATATGCTTAGTATCCCAAACTGTAACTTGAATTTCAAAGAATGATGAGATCGTTTCTTACAAGTTTTGTTCTTCTTGTCTTCATTTCTTTTTCCATTTCCCTTACATCATTACAAGATCATTTTTACCTATGTATGGTTCTCAACGTTCGATGTATAACAATAATAACAACTCTATCGAGTTACCGAATGAAAAACCTAAACCAGATCATGATGAAATAAGTAGAACAGAATGCTAACTAATCGTGTTATCAGATTCATCAGTGTTTCCTTTCTTCCAGTATGAAACGGAAGATTCTTGCAGCAGATTCAGAAGCAGATGCTGGATTATGAGGAACAGCCTTGATGGCCTGAAGCGGTTGTTGCTGTTTGTGTTCATCAGTTTCCGCCTTTGGACATGTCGGCTCTGTTCAAAAAACCCAGAATTCCAATACCCGACCAACTTGACCTACAGATCAGGTACCTGGCCACTATACGAGATGTGATTGGGTTATAGCATGAGGAAAATCCGAAAATTGAGCTCGGATTTGTGTACTTGGGTCTGAGATCAACAGTATCACAGGTACAGAGAGATTGTATTCATGGGACACGACAGAGCTTGTACTTCACTGTCTTTTGACGTCTCGGGCTTTCTTACACAAAATGACATTCCCTGACCGATATGACCAAATGGGTTTGTCTGATGAGAAACAGGAAATCCGAGAGCTGTTTCGAAAGAATCATCTCCAAAAACGGAAACCACAAAGCCTGAAGCTGGTGGTGGACACAGTCCTGAGTATGGCTTATAAACCAGTCCTTCAGAAGGAGACATCACAGGAACTAACCAGTGGTTTCCTGACGATGAAAACCACCATGGATTTGACGGGTTTTCATTCGTGACGGCAGGATGGGTCTTATGTGTTATGAGGTCTTTGCTTAACGAAGGTAGAGGAAGTTTCGGTATCACACTCTTCTCCAGATATTCAGTTGTGGGTTTCAGTTCGGGCTTAACCCCGGGAGCCATTTTCAACACGTTTGAGAGTTTCTTCATCGTTCCAAGCTTTCCCGTGATACCCTTTCGCTCAAGAATCGTGCTCGGGGACCTTGCAAGCCTCTTCTGAACCTGCATTCAGAAGAAGGTTGATGTTCATTTTATACATTGAATCTTTTGAAAAGCTAGATAAGTTGCAGCAAACCTAGTTGTAGCTACTTAGTACTTACAGTTATCAGTCTATGCAATTCGAAAACTTGTGCTGCGAAGATCCTCTGCTGTCTGAAAACAACAGCAAGAAATTAAGACAGTTGACAATGTCAGAACCTGGAAACATGAAACAGAAGAACAGTTTGAGATTAAGTACTCGATCATAGTCGTTCTCATTCTGGAATACTGTTTGTCACGAATCACTTTGACTAAGTGATTGGGAGATGCACTCAAACCCGATGCAGATTCCATCCCGGAGCTGTCTGAGACATCGTCATAGTTATGATTCGATACTTGCTCAACCCGAAGTACAGTTTCAGGTTTCTGAAGTTGGAGCGATAAATCTATGCTTTCTTTCAGATCTTTTCTGCTATGCAATTCTGTTTTCGAGCATCCAAGTTCAGGAACTCTAAGATAATCCAAGCTGGTAAGAGCCTTGAAAGAGAAGTTCTTGAAATGGTACTCCGTCTTTCCAAATAAGTTAGGCTTAGTAACCGACGAGAAGGATTCTCGAGGAGCTGGAGAATTCGAGATCTGTGCCTTCTTCCCGTCGAGGGTATCAACTGTAACACTGGACTTTCCAACACTTTGCGAGGATGAATTCTGCTTATCAGCAAGCTTTGATGGTGAAGCAGATTCACGAAATGGTACAAGCGGATTCTTCTCACGTTTACCGGCCTGCGAGAATTATTTATTATAAACGTTCTGATACCGATATTGCACAAGCAAGCATACATTTTCAGATCTTTTGTTTTGTCAGTTGTATTGGATTAAACATCCATATGCTCAAAGATCGTTCCTGAATTTATGCCCAAAAAGATATGCAGAAAGAGGTAAGCAAGAACAAGATGGAGATATAGCTGGGAGAAGATTTGAACTTACAAGGCAAGCACCATGGCTGAATCTGGTGGCGGCTGCTGGTGCAATAGACATAGTGGAAGAAGAATCAGGGACGTGGCTCGGGGCTCGGGACCGCCCTCCTTTCTCTATATCATTCAGGTGAACCCGACGAAACAATGGAGGGCTCGTACTATTTGCCTCATCTTTCACCTCTCTTATCTTCTTCTCCATAATTCTGAGAACTAAACTGTTAACTCCAACAAGAGGCTTACCTACCCTTTTTCCTTCCTTAACACGTAATAACAAATGCTTGCAGAACAGGGATAATAAAAACCAGACAATTCTGCGTGCGTGACAAAATCGAAGATTTGAAAGAGGAAATGCAGGATTAAACACACCTCAGATCAAATCCAATGCAAAGATCCGAACTTTTTCTCTTTTTTTTTTTTCTGTTCAAACAGGAGCATCACATAACCGGTTGCAAGAAGAAGAAGAAGAAGAATGATTCCGGGTTTGGCGAGAAAAACCCTTGAAAAGGGGGATTCCATGACAGGCAAGAACTCTAAGAAGAGGAACCTGAGTCGGTATCTGTGTTCGGTCGCTAGTTTCTCAAGTTAAGATCCCAAATCACGGGAACTCATGTTCCAGCTGACGTGGCGGTTTTGATTGGTCGGTGGTGGTGGGAGATCTTCGGGCGACTCGGTCTCTTACACCCAACCACATGTTTCTTTCTTTTCTTTTGGCTCTGTTTGTGCATATCTAAATTCGGTCGCTCTTTAACGAAATATCTGTTTCCGATCGCAATCACCATCCAGGACTTGTGGGTCCCACTTAATTTAGCACGTGGGTTATACAGACCAATCAGAAGTGTGTTACGTGAGAAACACGTGGGATGAGAGAGTGGGTTCCGCGCTCTTCGGACAAACTCTGGCTTTAGCCCACTGTCTATTGAGTGGGCCTATTGAGCCTTAATAATGGGCCTACGGATGAATTATTTATGGTGTTAGACTATTTGGTGGGATTTAATTCGTTGCTCAAAAGCTATGGACTCAACAGTTTTTTAGATTTGTTTTGTTGCGTGAACGAAAGAATATTTTTTATTTAAAATATTTTATTTGGATAATCGGATGTCCTGAGTCGAGATCCAGACTAATCCCGAAATCAAAAACAAGCCATATGATTAGAATATATGTTTTTCTTTCCAATTTAAGGGTCAAATTCGGGATAATTACTTAAAATATATTATTATCAAAGAATAAGGTTCAAATATCTATTAAAATTCAAAACCGATTTCAATTCAGGGACTATCTAATTATGAAGAAGTCAAATTAATTTTTAACATAAAAATAAATCTAAATGAAGTAACAATGATAATAATATATCGATGCTAGTATTATGTAAATTTTTCATATTTTACGACAAAAGTTCAAAGTTACTCAATAAAGAAATATAAATGGGAATCCAAAGTTCGTCAATATGCAAATAGGTTGAAACTCATCCTTATCAAAAATCATTAATTCCAACAAGGATAATGTTGAATTTTTCACAATGGATATGGATTGGATGATGCTATAATAATAATAATAACAATAATAATAATAATAATAATAATAATAATAATAATAAACATTTTTACGCATAAACCTTTGGGTCCCCACAGTATGACGCCAGGCTGATTTCCCACGTGGAGACGATTATCCTTAAGCACAAAATCCAATTATAAAACGCCACGTCTTCATGTGAGCGTTGTGTTCACGTGTGAACCGCCCATAATCGAGGAAAGAGAATAGCAAAACGGTATAAGTTCAGTCCTGGACCATTTTTTTTATCTGTTTTTTTCTTATAAATATATATTCTGTATAGCAAAAAAAAAATATAATATTCCAAATCATTTTTCATTTTAAATATTAATATTTTAAACTTTTACACACTCTATATTTGAAACTTGTTCAAAATATATAAAGATATCTTAATTCTTTATTTAAAAATTTGACATAAAATATTAAAACTAATCCGTTTTACCATATAAAAATAACACCGTATAAATTTTTTAATTATTGAATATATATATATCAAATTAAATATTGTGTATCGTAAAAGTTATTGATGTGTTTACTGTTTATGATTTATTTTAGGAAAAACTTCTAAAAATTCTCAAACTTGCAATTTGGTGGGAAAATAATTCTTATACTTTTTAGTATTTTTAATTATTCCTAAACTTTAAAAAAGTGACTTAATAATTTTTAAAATTGTTTAAAAGTATCATATTGATCCTTAATATAAATTGTCCAAAATAATACTCTTATAAAATCCCATTAACACATGAGATATCAAGATACGTCAAAATTTTATACTATATATGTAGAACCAGATTTAATAAATTCGATTTAACAAAATCCGTTCGAACTGGATTTAATAATCTCATGCGCTATTGCATGTACGTACACATATATATCCTATCATATATCGTCACCACCTCCCTCTCTTTCTCTCGAACTAATTTTCTTAAGGGAGGCTTATTAAACCGGATTTATTATTATTTAGAACCCATTTTATTATACCGAATTTATTATTATTTTGAACTGATTTTGTTAAACCGAGTTTGTTAAACCAAATTTATTAAACTTGGTTCTATATATATTACAAAATTCTGACATATCTTGACATCTCAGCCCCACGTAGGAACTTATAACAGTATTATTTTGGTCAATTTACATTAAAGATCAAAATGATACTTTTAAACAATTTTAGGAATTATTAAATCATTTTTTTAAGTTTAGGAATCATTAAACACACTAAAAAATATAGGAATTATTTTTCTACTAAATTGAAAGTTTGGAAATTTTTAGGAATTTTTTTCTTTATTTTATATTACATCTTAAATTATAACTTATCAATTCTAATAACCCAATACAAATATTTTTTTTACTCAAAATATTTGAGTTGGTAAAATGTATTTGAAAAAAAAAACTGAGGTAGCAAAACCTATGAAAAATAATAAAAAACTTACAAAAATACTTAAAATTAGTTTAAATATAAAATTATATTTATATTTATTTAGTTTTTGTCACTGTTTATTTTATTTATTTTTTGGTAAAAGCTTTAATTTTAGATTGTGTTTGACATTTTATGCGAGGACCACTTTGATCTCTCCAATTCTAAAGTCCCCATCATCACAAGGCCAAAAAATTGTGGTCCGACCGACAATTTTTTAGGATGTTCACATTGTTTCAATGTTTCACGATACTGAAACAACTTTAGAATTGATGTAACATGGTTAGATTCATGTATTCTTAGCCCAATTTTTCTTATAATTTTTTTATTGAAGAATATATTATTTATATATTTGGAGAAAATGTTATCAGAGACTATATAAATATATATATATGAAAATTTACGTTTTTGATTCACATAGGCAAACAAATTTAAATATGGTTGAATGATCGATTTTTTTGAAACGAAATGTAAATCAATTTAGTTTTCTGTGTTTTATAAATTACACAATACACGTATGATCACACAAGTTTTTTCGTATTATCTTATATATAATTTTCAGATTATTTTCATGCATTCATATCTAGATTAATTAGGGATATTTTGATTTATTTTGATGTGTTTTATGTTCTACATATGATGAAGATCATTTTGAAAATATTTAACGCGAATCGAACAAAAATAGAGATACTCGATCTCACACGCAATTCGATTGCGTCTACAAATTTGAACGAATTCGACTATAAATTTGTATTATGACACAGTTTCTCGACCATGTGCGAAATCTCTTGAACATGTTCGGATTTTTCTCGCCGGCACAAAGGCCTTGCGATCCGTCGAGTTATCATGAATCATCAGAGCAACGGGCATAACCCACGTCGACTTTTTATCTGATCCGAGAAAAATCCGAACATGTCCGAAAAATCTCCGAATGGTCGGTTGAAGAACCATCAACCATCACCCATCTCCCATCTCCCATTTTTCCAGCTCCTATCTAGGGTTTAGGGTTTAGGGTTTAGGGTTGAGGGTTTAGGTATTATCACTCTTAGTTATGATCCAGAGAAGTTGGAAGCTCAGAGTATTTGGTATTGGAATCATAATAAACTAAACGTTTAGAGTTTTCTATAGACACTAAGATCGTAATTTTTTTTATAAAGATTTCACTTTTCGTCCAATCATTATAATCTTAGCAAAATTTTGTTGATTTATTATATGGAAATGATTCACCTAACATTTTTCACTTTGAATTTGATTATTTTTATTCAGTTTTGTCTTTTCAAAACTCCTACAAATTAATAGAAGAAGATCTGGAGGTTTAGAACAATGTATTTGTCCGAATTATTATATACAACTTTATCATTACATAAGTCCCTCGCATTTTAATAGAGAATATGTGAAAAATAACATGTTTACATTCCGTTCTTTCATCGAGAAATGTTTTTAGTTTTATATACAAATTGGATTAATATTATCTCTTCTAGATTTCTTTTGTAGTTAATATAGATATAAAATTTTGATGTTAACACAAAATCTAAGCATCTTGAATAAAAATGTTAAAGATATGATCTTCTATTTGTGGGTCAAAATATTAAAACTTTGGATATATAAAAAGTTTTCGTATATTTGAATTCAAAATTTTATTCTCAAGAATATCTAGTATCGACCAATATAAATTCGAGATAATGTTTTCATTTTAAGATTAAAATTTTTAAAATAATATACTTATATATATAGCAGATAATCAATAGTAAAATTGCGAAACTAAATCCAAACTGAACAGATATATAGTTTCATTCGCTAAATTTGAATTCAAATCCAAATTTTTTATACATCCATTTTTCAAATACCAATAGAAAGATCATTCTGCGAAAAAAAATAATAATTATATCCGATCTTATTTGTTGAAGTTATTATATATTTATATATTTTGCCGTAGACCTTGTAATCTACTTGAATTCCGACAAGCTCTCATTAAATTTAGTGTGGAAGTAAAAATTCGTCGAGTAAAATGTTGTTGGACCGACATGTCGTGTCGCTTGTTTTTATTTTATTTTTTTAGGGGCAATGTTTCCCGTTTTGATTATGAAAATTAATGCTGATAGTGAAAATTAGGTTCGTGTAACGACAAAAAAATGAGGTATGCTTCGTTATGATGATCTTAATTTGGCCTTTTTATTTTTTTATTCAGATTGATTCATTTGGTCTTCCGTGTAATTATATTCATCCTACATCTAAGGATAATCTTATTACAATTAAATTGCATCATTTCTCTCCAACACATTGTTACAACATGGACCAACCATATTTTACAACCACTTGATCACAACTTCTTAAATTAATTTGGCCTTTCCTTATATATTTCATATTTATATTTTATTTATTTAAAATTATAATTATATGAGAAATTATTTTTCTTTTTATTTTTTAAAATTCACACATTAACTGTCGATATTTCGATTTAAACTTCAAAACTAGCTAAATTTTATGTTTTTAATACACATTTTTAATAGTAATTTGATTAAAAAGATTTCTAAAAGAAAACTAAAACTTTAGGTTTATCACAAGAAAACTAAAATTTCTAATAAATCATATTTTTTTTATAAAAATATTAAAAAAAATCTGCATTTTATTTGATTTAATTTGTATTAATTTTGAAATCTGAGATAAACTGGAATGTAAATATTTTTCCACCCAAACCGACAATGGATCCTATAATGTTTTAATGTCAATTTTAATTCCAGATATATCATTTTCATTGCAATTTTCAGATTTAAAATTGTTAGATGGTATAATATTAAATAAAAGTAAATTAGATAAGGATTTTTCTAAAAAGAAAATGTGATAAAAAAAATATTGTATAAAACCACAACAAAAAATTATTTTTACGATTATAATGATTTACGCGGTTATCTTTATTGGAGACTATTTTTAAAATTTTCAAATATTTGTTTCAATTTTCATTTGACAAATATTTATTTATTTATACATAAATTTAAACGTATCTATTTTATTTATTTTATAAAATAAAGTGAGTTTAAACGAAATAAGTTTTATATTTAAAATTTATACTTTGTTATAATAATTTGTTGTAATGGTAGATATTTGCACCTTTAATTTATTTATCTATACGATTTCCTTTGAATTCAATTTGAATTCATTTTTATGTTACTTTAATTTAATTATTATCAACTATACCATTACATTTTAATTGCTCACAAAATATTTTTATATTAAAGTTTTTCTATCAAAGTTCAGTATATGTATGAATCTATATAGATTTCCAAAATAAAAATCCAAAAATTTGAATAAGAAAATATTGAATTTTTTAAAAAATGCTAATTTTAGAACAAAGTTCCCTAAGATATATATTACTTTCACACAAAAAAAAGTCCCCTAAGAGATATATTATTTTTAACGGTCAATCATAAACAATCGTTTCTACCATATTTTAAGATTTTATTAAAAAAAAGACGAAAACCTAAGGATCATTCTTCAATTAATTATTTCTAAAAATAGTTAGCATTTTAAGTTATTCTTACCTTTAAAAGATTAAATCTCCTTATAAAATATTAAATATTGACCAAAAAAAAAGAGAAAAAAATAGAACGAACTGTGAGATTATGGTTTTGGAAGGCATGTGGTCGGGACTCTCTCTCTCTCTCTCTCTCTCTCTCTCTCTCTCTAATTGTGAATTTGAGCGTAGCTTTTAGTTTTTGGTTTTTGAATTTTGAATTCTATAATATTTGAAAACTAAAAAATAAGTTTTCCTAACTTTTAGAAAAAGTAATTTTGTAAAAACTTGAATAATAATTTTTTTGGCTTTTATATTCTAAAAACTCCCAAAACTACAATCGGCCTAAAACTCTCGACTCATAACTCCTTTGACTTTGCTATCTTCCTACCTTCCTATCAGACTTTTTTTTTGGTAACTTACCTTCCTATCAGACTTATAAATATATAACGATTGTCATTTAAAAAAATTAAAATAAAATTTTCATATATCTTGATATTCTACGTACTATCTTACACTAAAGACGTATATATATATTTTTACAAAAGAATGATTTTATTTCATGCAGAGAAAAACTGTAAAAAATAGTAAAAAGTATTTGATTGATTTTGACACGGAAAACAATATTTAAACTTACATTGTGTATTTATTAGGATATATTACTAACTCAGAGATAGGATTAAAGCATGATATCTTAGTGCAATATTATGGAAAAAAAGCTTCCCATATAGTGAAGAGATTATGGTACTATAAGCAAAAAATTCAAAAAAAATAAATAAATAAAGAAGAAAACATTCAATTACATAAAAAAATATATGAATAATTACTTAAAAAAAGACATGAAAATATTTATTTAATTTCAAGCTTTGAACATAAAATTCCATAAAAGAAAAAAAAGACATGAATTTGCCAAGATGGTAGAAATCCATGCGTCTATAGAAAAAAACAAAAAAAAATCATCAAATAAAATATATATATTTTTTAAAAAACTTTATATTATTAAAAAATGTAAGTGATAAATTCAGAAAAGCTTCAAGAGAGGTCAAAATGTCGGTCTGCGCAAATCATAATGCACTGACGATGATTGAAAGGAAAACGAAATTATGCCAAGAAGCAAAAAAAGTGTATAAAAACTAGAGCTTAATCATGATTAAAACTAGGATTAATTTAATAGTATAAAATATTAACCTTTTTTATTTTATATAAAAAAAGACTTCAAAATAGAAAGATCAAAACCCTCGCTCTCCCAGTAGCTTTTTCAAAACGCACGACGCTAAAACTAAAAGGGTGTCAGTACTTTTTTCTCACTGTGATTTGAATTATAGTAACCTTTTGAGCTGCATAATTACATCTCTATGAGTTTAATCATTATAAAAATGAATATTAATATATTTTCTTATGTTAGAAAAAAATATAAACTATTACGCCCACCAACTTCAATATATATATATATAGTTTATATGTTTATTTACTAATGAGTCATGAATGTTCCTAATTCACCAAAATACACATCAAGGAGTTGTGACCACAGATAAATCCATTGTGAAATATGTCTATTTCGTTATAAATCTATCCGAAAATAGAAATCAAAACCGAAAAAACCATCCAACCAATCCAAAATAGGTTGTTTTCATAGGGGAACAATTTATCACATCGAAAGTTGGGGACCTTAATTTATATTATAATATTATATCTATAATATATACACACACACACATATATATATATATAGGCATACTAAGAACCCAAATGGGTATCGCGTATAGGCAACTAGGCAAGTCTTTTTAAATCTACATTTGTTTGTTAACATTGACTGAAAAATCAGAGGAAGCAAAAGATAAGAGTTAGATAGAAACAGAAGTCTCTGTAAGGGGAAAAACAAGTTTCTCTTTCAGCAGTTTCACTTTCTTTCTCCTTTTGGGGTTTGTTGTCTCTTTTGTGCAAAAACGTTTCGCCTGTCTGTAACCTATCAACTTCACCATTCTTACTGTATTTGATCGTGAAGGTCGGTTACAGTTACAGATCAGAATACTTCCCTAGATTTTCTGGAAGAACAAGCAGTTTCAGGTTTCTGTTCTTTTCTTTTTTTTTTATATTTTTTTTTTGGTTTACATATCTTTTTTTTTAGCTGCATGATTGATCTGTTCTCTGAGGATGTTTCTGACGTCTGTGTTTTCTGGTACTTTGGTTGCGTTTGATTTCAGATGGATGGTTTGTGTAGGAACAGTTCTGTTTACGCTCAAGCCATGTTTGATTCGACCCGAGGGAGCAAAAGCATCCAGCATCAAGAATCATGCTTGGATTCGATCTGCGGTTCTCAGAATTTGAAACCCAGATCGGATTTGAGCTGGGGAGGCGAGCTGATAACTCCTGAACTGTGTTCTTCTCAGCTCATGAACCCTAATCTGAGCAGCTTCATGCCTGATCTTGGAGCCATGAGAGCAGTGCAACAGCATCAACACGTTAAGAACAGCTGTTCGGTCGATCAATCACTTGACTGCTTATGGTCAGCGAGCAACAGCAACAACATTTCGACGTCAGCAGAAGACGATGACATTTCTGTGCTTTTCTCAGATTGCCAAATGCTGTGGAGCTTTGGTGGCATCTCATTTGCAGAATCTGAGAACAGAGAGATCACCGAGACTTTCTCTCTGGTTTCTTCTGATCAAACGAACCCAAAATCTGGAAAAAGAAACAGAGATGATGAAACTGGAAGTTACTTCCGGCTCGTTCGTCCTCAAGAAGATTCCATTTCGAGAGACACCGGCGATTTCAAGCTCATCTACGATGAAAATCCGTCGAAATCGAAGAAACCCAGATCGGAGAAACCACCATGCTCATCTAATATCAGTTTTCAGCAGCCTAACTCGAACTCGACGTCCCTGTCGGGAGATATCGAACCTGATGCAGAGGCTATTGCTCATATGAAAGAGATGATCTACAGAGCAGCAGCATTCAGGCCGGTGAATTTCGGGTTGGAGATAGTGGAGAGGCCGAAGAGGAAGAACGTGAAGATATCGACGGATCCACAGACCGTGGCAGCGAGGCATCGACGGGAAAAGATCAGCGAGAGGATTAGGGTTTTGCAGAGATTGGTTCCTGGAGGGACAAAGATGGACACTGCTTCAATGCTTGATGAAGCTGCTAACTATCTCAAGTTTCTTAGGGCACAAGTAAAGGCATTAGAAAACATGGGCCCCAAGCTTGACCCATCAATTCTCTCCTCCTGTTCGTCTTCACCATCGTCATTTTCATTCCCATTGTTCCACCAAGCTTCTATGTATCTCCCCATGCAAAACACTAATTACCAGGTCCACAATCCACGGAGTTAAAAAAAAAATTCACTGATCCAGACCAAACCCTCGATTCGATTAACCAGAAACTTGTTATTAAAACCCTAATAACAAAAATAACAATAATAATAAAAAGTTAAATGGTTATAATGGTAGTGGGCGTTCATCATGACATCTTGATTTTGCAATTATGAAGCTATGATGATTTTCCTTTGTTATAAAAAGCTGTGGCTTTTCGTGGAGGCCTCTTCTGTAATTCTGTTAAATGTATTCCTCACCTTTTTTGGACTACAAGAAAGTCTCATCTCTCTCCCTCTAGAATTAGTTTTGTATACCCCGAGAAATTTGGATTAATTTATATTTTATAATTACAGTTGGAAAAAACAATTATAATAAAATTAATCATATACATATATATATGTGATAACATTCGAATTCTAAAAATGACATTGTACTCGTCTAGAATTAAACCAGTGGTCCACGAATTTCCCATGAGCTTCGTGACTACGCAACTCTCTCTCTATATATATAGAGAGAGAGTTGTTTGATGAAATGGTAGGAGGAAGAAAAAGAAGAGAGAGTGGTAGGGGAATAAAAGAAACATTCAAAAGTGGTGGAAAAGAAGAATGCAGAGAGATTAGGGTTTGTCTCCTGTTTTTAACCCAAAGCGTGCGCCTTGAGAATCACTCCCTCTCTTAACCCATCTTCAAATGCCATGCACATGCTCTCTCTCTCTCTCTCTCTATATATATATATATATATGTATATATATATGCTTCTCTTTTGGCTCCTAGGTTTTGTCTTATTCCTGAACTAAACTTTTTTTGGTTTAATCCTGAACTAAACTTGAGAAGCCCACCATATCCATATCTGTGAGGTTGGTTTGTGCTCGGATATCACATACATACATACATACATACATACATACATACATACATACATACATACATACATACATACATACATACATACATACATACATACATACATACATACATTACAATAACATTCACTAAATTAGGGAATATTTTGGAGTGTCATGTCAATGGATGTAAAGGAAAAAGAGTCACGCAAGAGCTAAAAACAAACATTTTGGGTCAAGTTTATATATATATTTTTAAAATGATACGGTTCGCAAGTTATATTTTCTATTTATCTATAATTTTAAAAATATAAAAATCGTTTATTTTTTAAATATCTGATTAAACTCTGAATTATTACAAAATCTTAAATAAATGATTATATAAGATAATATATACATATTATATTCTAATTAAAAATTATGATAATAAATTGACAAAAAGTTATAGATTATGATTATAAAAATGATAGATTTGATAGAATATGATTATGAAAAATGAGTTTGTATTTGGATTTATATATAAAAATTTTAGATTTGATGTGGAGGTGAAGCAAGCAAACGTCTCATTTTGTTTATAAAAATTGGGATTAATTATATTTAAAAAAAATAATGATTTTTTAGATATTTTTTCGTTTTTTAATCTATAAAAAATTGTAGGGATCGAATTTGAATTCTATTAACCTTACAAATTAAATTATTGGACCAAATGGTATTAGTTAGAGCTTTGATTTATTTATTTTTTGTATTTTGGAAATATTTGCCTTTTATTATTATTGAGAAAATAACCTTTAAGGCGTTAGCCATGGAAATATTTGACGTCTCCAAGAAACCTGCCTTCACCTGATCACGAACTGAGTGGCAATCCAGCTCAATATGCTTCGTTTGTTCGTGAAATACATCATTATTCGTTGTCGCTGATTCGTCGTACCATGAGAAATTGCCTTCTGCAGCGAATGATTTGTCGATCCGATGGCTGATGCAGAGGAATTTCAGCAACGCCAGAAATCGGGCGGATTTAGGGATCCAGAAGAATCGAGATCGATTGCTGAAACTAGGGTTTGCAGCAAGTTTGTTTTTTTCCATCTTCGTTGACGTTTCATTTTTAAAAAGATATCTCTGTTTTTTCTTTCGATGGGCGACGAGGAAGAGGCGATGATAACTGATGGGTTCTCCGAATCCGCGGCGGAGGATTTCTCCGGCGGCGTCAAATCATCGCCGGAGAAAAATGAACGGAGTAGTGTCGGATTGCAAGGTAAGGAAGTGCTCGGGGTTCAATTTCTTTGTATTCTGTACTCTTTTGCCTTTAGAATCAGATTCCATCGCTTCAGGACAATGATGGCATAGCCATTACATCCTTTCTTCTTTAACATTTCAAAAAGCCGAGCACCTGAAATCTGTGACCTGACAATTTTTCCAAGTTCTGCAACCACTCAACCAGGAAAATGCTCAAGAACACGTCTATTTTGATTCAGGTTCTTCACGACTTTCGTGGCACTTGTCGGTATGATGATCCGAGAAGAGGGAATCTGGCTCAGATCTTGCAATGTAACTCAATCATGTCCTCTCTAATGAGGAAAGCTGTACCCACTTCAAAGGCCATGTGGGTGACAGTTTGATGATTGTTGCCATTTCAAAGATGAACAATGGAAAGTTCCTGAAGGTGTGGCTGAGGTCTATCTTCCTCAAACACTTCACTTTATATTGAATTCAATCCTTTAGCATGATTTACCCGACAAATTGCTGTTTTGGTCAAATGCCAGGTCTTTGATCCATGGCTACTGCTATACCATTGAGTTCTTTATGAGCATAACCCTGTTTTCAGTATTTAACAAAGAGCAAGTTGGCTCTTTCTCCTCTGTTGACCTTTGGTTTTATTGTCTACTTGCAGATAAAAACATTCATAGATGTTGCAAGCACATCAAAGGAAATAAGAATGATAATAATAATGCTTCCAAGGTATTATGTGAGGTAATTAATTAGATAATCGTCCAGCTTGGAGTTGACCTTGTCATAATGGTTGACCACTGGCAAAGAAAAACTCTGCTGCTTTGCCATGAAGTTCTTAAGAAATGCTGAAACCCTTTGTGTTTCTGCTGTCTGTAGAAGAGAGAAGATGGCAGAGAAGACATCGAACGGTTTCATCTCAACGTTTCTTTGTTGTTTGGCTCTCATCAATCTCACCAGTTGTCAGGATCAGACCGGTTTGTGATCTGAAATCTTTGGTCTCTCTCTGCCAAGATTTTTTTCTTCTCTTCCTTGTTATCATATTTTCCTTAAGTACTTTAGAATTTGTGCTGCCTTTCTGCATTGAAGTTGAACTAGTTTTTCGATCTCGGTATCAGGATTCATTAGCTTAGATTGCGGGTTACAGCCAGAAAATTCAAGCTACAACGATGGATTGACGGGCATAAAGTATGTCTCAGATATGGGATTCACAGACATGGGAATCAGCATGGCTGTTGCTCCCGAGTACAGGTCGGTCCCGATGGAGAGCATGCGGTCCGTAAGAAGTTTTATTGAAGGAACTAGAAACTGTTACACTCTTCAAACTAATAGCAGCACCAAGTATTTGGTCCGAGCAAGTTTCATGTATGGAAATTATGACTCGAGAAATGAGATACCGGGATTTGATCTGCACCTCAGTCCAAACAAATGGGACACTGTCAAGCTGGATTCTGTTTCACAGATTGAATCCAAGGAGATCATACATTATGTCTCATCAGAATCTTTACAGGTTTGTCTAGTTAACACAGGGCAAGGCACACCTTTCATATCTGCATTGGAACTCCGGCCATTGCCAAATTCATCGTACTAAGCCAAATCTGGTTCGCTCCAACTCTTTGCGCGCTTGGATTTCGGTTCTATATCGAATCAAACAGTCAGGTGACTAGAAAAATCATTTTGTTTTGAGTTTAGTGGTAAGTATTTGATGTTCCTCGGCATGAATCTCCATTATTCTGCTGAATAGAATGCTGCAAGTTTAGATTTTGAGCTGAATAAGAAGATTATTTGAGAAAGAAGAGGAGATCTTTTTGATTGTGCATGCCTCATGTGAATTGATAAATCCCGTTCGTTGCAATTCTCAGGTACCCTGATGATGTTTTCGATCGTGTGTGGCTTCCATATCTCCCAGAAGGATCAAAGCAGTTGAGTTCTTCGACAGTTGTTTTCTCGGGCAACAATAATTTCCGTATTCCACAGGTTGTAATGAGAGGTGCAGCCATACCGGCTAATGCTACGGATTCTCTTAGCTTTGCCTGGTTTCCCGATGATCCTTCACTTGAGTTTTATGTTTACTTCTACTTTGCCGAGCTTCAAGAACTGAACTCCAACCAAAGAAGAGAATTCGTGATTTTCTTAAATCGAGAACTTTTCTTTGGACCCCTCATTCTTAATTACTTACGGGCCACAGTCCTCTACTCCGACTCGCCTTTGACAGCGCAAAGCTTCCAGTTTTCATTGATCCGGACTCAGAACTCTACCCTTCCACCTCTCATCAACGCCGTAGAGGTTTACTTTGCCAACAAAATCCCGCAGTCTTTGACGGATCAGAACGACCGTAAGACCTCTTTCGTTTTTTGCTATTGATCTTTTTCAGGTTCTGCATTACGGGGCCTGACACTATAAATCTTCAGTTTCTGCTATCACCGCTATCAAGTCTTCATATGGAATCAAGAGAAACTGGCAGGGAGATGCATGTACGTGTCCCCCAAGCCTACTCGTGGGCCGGTGTAACTTGCAGCTACAACGGCACAAACTCGCCCAGAATCACGGCTCTGTAAGAATCTTACAACGCTCCCTATCTCTCGATTAATTGTTTTTTCAGACAGTGGTTAAGATTCTCAGAGATCGAAACTTGTTGCAAATCCAGGAACTTGTCAAATGCCGAATTGACGGGAGAAATAGTTCTCGATATCTCACGTCTCACACAATTACGAACTCTGTAAGTAGTTCTCGTGTTTGTATATGATTATAATCTGAAGGCATGATAATATTGCGTCACTATCTTCGGCTCTCGCTTTCAGGGACTTATCAAATAACAATCTGTCTGGACCTGTGCCGGCTTTTCTAGCTCAACTTCAACTTCTTACACTCCTGTGCGTATTTTCTCCATTTTCAATCAGATCTATAATACGAGTTCATAGCTCTGGAAACAGTTTAAAGCTTACTCCGTTCGCCTTTGCAGAGATCTTTCGAACAATCACCTAACTGGTCCTATACCATCTGAACTCATCTCAAGAACAAAGGATGGCTTGTCATTACGGTATCATCATACATCCTTCTCTTTCTCACTTCGTAATTTCACGGTATGAACTTGATAAGCATTTACAAATATCGAGCAGAGAGCAAGCTAATTCATGAGCTTATCATTGCAGTGTCAATGGAAATCCTAGTGTTTGCTCGGTAAGTTCATGTGAGTTCTTGCAGAGCAAG